GTCTGTATGTTACTTGCATGTATACCATTTTAGGGCTGCCCATTTAGTGCTAGATAATCAACTGGTGTGCAGGAAAGCTTCCTCCCTGAAGACTAGCTTTCAGGGTACCAAGAGGCTCCATATGCAAGCTTCCTAAGGAGGAAAAACAACCCACAGTCCTACCCAGCTACGAAGTCTATGAACCACAACAGTGACCAGGATGGTACAGTGACCCTAAGGGTACAGTAGTGATTACCTGTCTGTCCCCAACAGCTCTCTTATTGGACTTAAGGCCCAGGCACTGGAAACCTAGCCAACCACCTGGGGCTAGTGAAGTCACAGATCCTGGAGGACCTGCAACTGCCACTGTAATTAAACCAGCACAATCCTGCATGATCCTATAGTATAAACTACATTCTAAGTTATTTATCCTTAGGCCCATAGAAAAGTATAGTTCCTATCCCACACCATGGCCCCCATAGGCCTGGAATAATCAACCGGATAGGCTGGAGAGCCTGTGAGCCCCCAGAACCCTCCAGTCTGGTCCCGCGAGCTGAGATTATAAGTGCATGCCAGCAAGCCCAGCTTTTTCACAAGGGCACTAGGGATCAAAGAAATACCATTAAAACAGGCTGCAGACGCCGGGTAGTGGTGGTGGCGCAGACCTTTAATCCCAGCACTGGGAGCCAGAGGCAGGAGGATCTCTTGAGTTCCAGGACAGCCTGGTCTATAGAGTGAATTCCAGGACAACCAAGGCTACACAGAGAAACCCTATCTCACCCCCCCCCCAAAAAAAAAACCAGGCTGCAGATTATTTCCTAGGTTGTGTATGAATACACATATAGAGCTAAACATGCTTTATCTTAGAAACTTTGTAATGATGGTACATAGGCTAATAACTTGTAGGTCACCTAACTAGTCCAGCTGAAATACTGAGTTTCCATTCAGATTCAGTAAGAGACTCTGTCTTAAAAAACAGAGATGGGTGGCAGTGGCGCTCGCCTTTAATCCTAGCACTCAGAAGGCAGAGCCAGGTAGATCTCTGTGAGTTCGAGGCCAGCCTGGTCTACAGAGTTAGGTCCAGGACAGGAATCAAAACTACACAGAGAAACCCTGTCTCAAAAAAACAAAAACAAAAACAAAAAAAAAAAAAAAAAAAAAAAAAAAAGGGAGGAGAGTAATAGAGGAAGGCACTTGCTGCCTTCATTGGCCTCCACACACATGATGAGGGAATGTCTTTCTGTATGCTGTGAATATGTTGTTCTGATTGGTTGATAAATAAAGCTGTTTGGCCAATGGTGAGGCAGAATAAGGTTCGGTGGCACATTCTAACTGGAGAGAGAGGGGAGAAGAAAAGAGAACAGAGGAGACACTGCCAGCTGCCACCATGAGAAGCAAGATGTGAAGGCAGAACTGAGAAAAGGTACCAAGCCCCATGGCTAAACATAAATAAGAATTATGGGTTAATTTAAGAGCTAGTCAGTAATAAGCCCGAGCTATTGGCCAAACAGTTTATAAGTAATATAAGCCTCTGTGTGTTTATTGGGACCACAGGGCCACAGTCAGAGCAGCGGTGGGACTGGGTGGGATCAGAGAAAAATTTCAGCTACACACACATCTGCACATACCACAGACCCACAAAGAAACAGTGGTACAAAAGATTCCTGATGTCTACAGAGGAAAAAGCAACACTGAAGACATCTCAGAGCAAGTCATGAGACCCCTCCCCTTTTACTTGTTCTTACATTTATTAACTTCTGTATTGTTGGTAACTTCAAATAAATAATTCATTTTCTGGTTTGTTTTTTCATTCTCCTCTTCCTCTTGAGACAAGGTCTCATTCTGTAACCCAGGCTGCTTCAACTCCCCAGTGTACTGCCACTATATATTAAATCAGTATTTACTATGGTAAGCTCATTTAAAAACTAACATAAAACTTGGGTTTTTAAGACAGAGGTCTTACTCTGGGCGTGGTTAAGCACTCCTTTAGTCCTTGAGAGGTAGAGGTAGGCAGATCTCTGTGCTCTGAGTTTGAGGCCAGCCTGGTCTACAAAGTGAGTTTTAGGACAGCCAGGGCTGTTACACAAAACTGTTTTGAAAAACAACAACAACAACAACAAAAGACAGAGTCTTACTATATAACCCTGGCTAGCCTGGGACTCACCATCTAAACCAGGCTAGCCTGGAACTCACAGAGATCCACCTGCCTCCTTTATCCAATGTTGGGATTAGATTTATATGCAAAGGTTTAAAAAAAAAAAAAAAACTAGAAGGGGCTGGAGAGATGGGGCTCAGGGGTTAAGAACACTGGCTGCTCTTCCAGAGGTCTTGAGTTCAATTCCCAGCAACCACACGGCAGCTCACAACCATCTACAATGATTTGGTGCCCTCCTCTGGAGTGCAGGCAAAACACTATATACATAATAAATAAATCTTTTAAAAAATATATAGCTGTGGGTTGCTGAGTATGGTGGCATGAGCCTTTAATCCCAGCCAACAGGATGAGAAGCAGAAAGATCTGAGTTTGAGGCCAGCCTGGTCTACATAGCCAAGCAGGGCAGCCCTGTCTTTAAAGCGGTGGTGGCACACACTTTTAATCCCAACACTCAGGAAGCAAAAGCAGATGGATCTCTGAGTTCAAGCCCAGCCTGGTCTACAGAGTGAGTTCCTACAATCCCAGCATTTGGAAAGGAGAACTGTCCATGAGTTCAAAGCTCAATTTGATCTACATAGTGAGGTCCAAGCCAACCAGAACTACAAAGACAGACTCTTTCAAAAAAAAAAAAAAAAAAAAAAAAAATTTAAGTTTAAGAATTCTAGCTATATTGATATTTATTTACAACTTATTACAATTGTATTTCCTAATTTCATTTAATTTTCTTACTGTCTTCATATATATACACACATATGCACACACACACACACACACACACACACACACACACACACACGTTTGTTTTTTGTTTTTTCGAGACAGGGTTTCTCTGTGTAGTTTTGGAGTCTGTCCTGGATCTGGCTCTGTAGACCAGGCTGGCCTCGAACTCACAGAGATCCGCCTGTCTCTGCCTCCCGAGTGCTGGGTGCGCCACCGCCGCCCGGACTGTCTTTTATACTTTAACAGCTCTAGTTTATGCTAGTCAAATGCCGTTCCATAAACTACTGTTAAATGATTACAAATATTTGTACATTTACTTGGTGACAGTGGCTTTCAGTGTGACTGCTAATAACTGAAGTTTCATACATGAAGGACCTACTTGCAGATGGCATATTCTGGTTCCTAAACAACCAGAGCGCACTCCCTGCTGACTGACTTCAGACTATTTTACTAGCCATTCTGCTTTCGAGGGTGGGTGTAATGTCAGTGACAGGTCAGTGGGCAAAGGAGCCCGCGGCCAAGCATGGTGACCTGAGTTTGATCCCTGAGACTATATGGTCAGAGAAAACCAATTCCCATATGTTGTCTACTGACCACACCCCCACACACAAATGCAATAAAAAATTAAACATTATTTTGAAAAAGAAGGTACAAGAAATCTATTTACGATTATATACAACTAAGTTTGACTATTTCTATAAAGTGCTTGCAAACCAGGAAGCAGCTGGGCGGTGGTGGTGCACACCTGTAATCTCATCTCATCGCTCACTGAGGCAGAGGCTCAGTGAGTTCAAGGCCAGCCTGATCTATAAAGGAAGTTCCAGGACAGCCAAGGCTACACAGAGAAACACTGTCTGGAAATACCAAAAACAAAGAAAGAAGCCAAAGTCAACCCCATCTTGTGGCACCTGCCTATAATCCCTGTATTTGGAAAAATAAGAGTTTGAGGCCAGTCTGGGCAACAAACAAATGGCTAGCCTGGAATACACAGCAAGATCTTGTATCAAAAAGGGAAAAAATGGTGCTAGGAGTGGTGGTGTGCATCCATAATCCTAGCACTAGAGAAACAAGCAAGGAGTCTCCACAAGTTCAAGACCATCCTGGTCTATGTATCAACCTGTAACCCAGCAAAGTCTCCATAGTGAGACTCTGTCTCAAATGGGGGAAGGGGGATGGGGAGTGGCCGGGACTGTCAAACTCTTCCTGTAACTGGAAAGTAATTCTTTTAAGTCTCCGTGACTATATCATTGTAATGTAAAAGCAGCCACACACACTATGAAAATAAATGTGACTGGATTCCAATAAAAGGTTATTTATGGAGTTGGGAGTGGTGGCTGAGGCAGGAGGGTGACCTAGAGTTGTAGGCAGCTCAGCCTGCCTAATCTACATAGTGCATTCCACCCCAGCCTGGAGTAAAAGACACACAACCCTGTCTCAAAAAAAAAAAAAAAAGAAAAGAAAAGAAAAAAAGCGAGCGCTAAAATTTCCAAGTGTTGTGAAATATCCCCCCTTTTTCCTGAGAGTGGTGAAGCAAGCCTTATTAAACCTTGCACTTGGGAGGTGGAGCGAGGAGGATCAGAACTTCTAGGCCATCTTCAACTACATTCCCTAGGTGAAGGCCAGAATAGGTTACATCAGACCAGTCCCAAAACAAACCATCGAAGGGGAAAGTCTGCTTAGTCTGACTGCTGATCTGTCTACTACGCACACTGCGCACGCTTAGGAAGGGAGTTCAGGGCGGCCAGCCGTCACCGACAGGAACGTGGGGCCAGGTGGAGCAGGTTCAACGTCCTGGGTCGCCGCGCTCCGCGCCCCCAGCCGGGACCCAGCCGGGACCCAGCCGGGACCCAGCGAGGGCGAGCACCGCGGAGATCCCCGCCTGGCGGCCGGCGCCCGCGGCTGCACTGACGGCGGGGGATGGGAGCCAGGCCGGCGGCCCGCGGAGCTCAGCGAGCCCGGCGCGGGTGAGGCGGCAGGCTCCGCTCCGGGCTCCGGCGGCCTCCCTCCCGCTCGCCGTCTTCCCGCGCCGCGCTCCGGTCTCCGCCCTAACCCGCACACGGCCTCCCGCCGCCGTCCAGCCCAGGGTGGCAGCCATTGCCCGCCGCCCTCGCCAACCGCTTTTCCCCCCGTCCCGGCCCCCACTCACCTCCACGGCGCCGCAGCCAGCACCTTCCCGGACGACTCAGCCTTCCAGATTGGCCGTCCCGGGACCTTATGCCAATCAGCCAATCCCCGCCCCTGGCCGGGCCCAGGCTGACCAGTGAGCGGCTCGCTGCGGCCTGGGGGGCGGGCTCAGGAGGGCGGGCCGAAGGCGTGTCTGCCTCCCCGCCAGTGGCGCCCGCTACCTTTCCGGGTCTCTGTGCGCACGCGCGGAGCACAGTAAGGGGCGTGGTGCTTTTGTGTGAATGGTGCTTTGTGTCTTCAGGGGTTCTTGGCGCGGTTGCTTTTGTTGGGGAGCTTCGCCCCGTCAGGGTGTAGGAAGACCCACATTCCGTGTGTAGTCGAAAGTGCGTGCCCGCTGGGAGGAGCTGGGTCTTTAACCTCACCTAGCCTGTGTCATCCCACGCTCTGTGGGGACCTGTGCTGGCCAGGCCCATCTGTGTTTCCGGCCTCCCATCCCGGATGTCTGTTCTGGAGAAGTAGGAATGCTGTGCTGCCCAGAGGGAATGAAGAGTTTACTTTCCTGCCGTCAGTTCCCCCAACTCAAAGTCGGCCTAGTTGGTGCACTTTGGCCTGGTTGGTTGGTTGGGTTGGGTTGGTTTTTTTTTTCTTTTTTTTGGTTTTTCGAGACAGGGTTTCTCTATGTAGCTTTGCGCCTTTCCTGGAACTCGCTTTGTAGACCAGGCTGGCCTCGAACTCACAGAGATCCGCCTGGCTCTGCCTCCCAAGTGCTGGGATTAAAGGCGTGCGCCACCACCGCCCGGTTTTTTTCGAGGCAGGGTTTCTCTGTGTAGTCTTGGCTGTCCCAGAACTCGCTCTGTAGACCAGGCACTCACCGAGATCCGCCTGTCTCTGCCTCAGGGATTAAAGGCGTGGGCCACAACTGCCAGAGTGCTCGTGCACGTGCTTTTTAATGAATGGCTATTCTGAGACCCCCTAGATTTCAAATAACCTGTGTGAAAATATGACCTCTGTGTCTAATTAGCCATAAGCAGCATGGTAATGTGTGTGGGCGCGATAAAACATGAATATGGAGGGGAAACCTATCAGTATTTCAAAAGGCTGTTGCTAGTTGGGCGTGGTGGCTCGTGTGTGTAATCCCAGCAGTTTGGAGGTGGAGGCTGGGGGATCTGGAGTTGAAGGTCAGCCTAAGCCACTGGAAAGAAACCTTAAGTCCAAAAAAAAAAAAAAAAAAAAAAACGGGGAAAGGCTGGGGGTGGGCAGCTGTTGCTACTTAGTCTTTTCTCTTACCCTCTCTTTGGCAGATGTTTCTGAAGCCTAACTGGAGCGCTGATGTTCTTGCCCTGGATGGCCTAGTTCCTCCTGGCTAAGGCTTTGTATTTCAGCAAGAGCTTCTTTTCAGTTACTCAATAATGGCTTGTTGGGAGCCCACTATGACAGTACAAAGTTGTTTTTTGTTTTGTTTTTTGGTGTTTTTTTTTTTTTTTTAAAGTTTTGAACCACGCCCTGAGTGAGCCTACTGTATACCGGGGAGATAAAGACAAGGTTACCATATGTGATCAGATGTTATAATGCAAGTACAAAAGAGCCTGAAAAAACCGTGACCAAGCCTGGGGGTGGGAGGCCTCAGGGAACAGTTCAGGGAGGAGTGAGTACTTGGTCTGAGACTTGGAGAAAGCTGCTGAGTTGAACTGGTGGGGGCAACAGACAGACAGGAGTGGCATTCCCGGCAGTGGTTCCTTGCTTCTGAAATACTTGTAGGATTTCCTGCTAAGCTAATAGTTGTTTAGGAGCTCTGACCACCAGCTGTGTGACCCACAGGCAACGCCTGGCTGTGTGACACCAGTGGCCTGTGTTATCCTCTGTGTCTGAAAAGGGGGGTGTCTGAAAGCGCCCCTTAACTGGAGATCGGTTCGAACCTGTTTTTTATTTCTTTTCTTTTCCCCTTCCTTCACACCTTGCTTTATCCTCCAGTGCCCTGGAGGGGCCCTGGACTGTTTGAATGTCAGGATGAAGGAGAGATGACTTAAACCTGAGCAATTTCATCACAAGGTATTGTTGTTTCTCCCAATATTGGAATTATTTCTAAGAATTCTGACCCAGCTGTGTGCCATCTCATTCAGTAGTGTGGCACACACTACTGATTGAAGGCAGAAGAGGGTTTGAAAGAAGTCGAGCCAGGAACTGACCTAGGAGAAAGTCCTGCAGTCGTTACCCTTTTGAACTATTAAGCTTTGCTTTTTGAAAGAAATAAAAATATTTTGTAGTAATTTTAGTTTTACAGAGAAGTGGCAAAGGGTAGAAAAAAATTCTGGTGTTCTCTTCACCCAGTGTCCCCTAACCTTACATTTACAGAGTTAGAAATCCAGCACTCATACATTATTACTGACCTGGCTGGTTGACACAAGCTAGAGTCATGAGAAAGGAAGGAGCCTCAGTTGAGAAAATGCCCCCATAAGATCCAGCTGTAAGGCATTTTCTCAATTAGTGATTGATGGGGGAGGGCCCAGCCCATTGTAGGTGGGGCCATCCCTGGGCTGGTAGCCCTTGATTTTCTAAGAAAGCGGAGTGAACCATGGGAGGCAAGTCAGTAAGCAGTACCCCCCCCCCTCCATGGCCTCTGCATCAGCTCCTGCCTCTAGGTTCCTGCCTGCTTGAGGTTATGTCCTGACTTCCCTTGGTGATGAACAGCAATGTGCAAGTGTAAGCCAAATAAACCCTTTGTTCTCCAACTTGCTTTTTGGTCATGGTGTTTCATTGCAGCAATAGAAACCCTAAGTAAAATAATTACTGACAAAAACTCCAGACTTTTATTAAGGTTTTATTTTATTTTTGTTTTAGAGTTAATTATTTATTTTTATTTTATGTGCATTGGTATTTTTTTGTTTTTGTTTTTGGTTTTTTGAGACAGGGTTTCTCTGTGTAGCTTTGCGCCTTTCCTGGAATTCCCTTTGTAGACCAGGCTGGCCTCGAACTCACAGAGATCCGCCTGGCTCTGCCTCCCAAGTGCTGGGATTAAAGGCGTGCGCCACCACCGCCCGGCGTGCATTGGTATTTTGCCTCCATGTACATTTGTGTGAGGGTGTTAGGTCCTCTGGGATTGGAATTACAGTCAGCTGTGAGCTGCCATGTGGATGCTGGGAATTGAACCTTGGTCCTCTGGAAGCGCAGCCAGTGCTCTTAACCACTGAGCCAACTCTCCAGCCCTATTCAGGTTTTATTAATGCAAAGACTACAGGCTGCACTTCGTCATACAATCACCTTCGTCTTCTCTGGTACTTTCTTAGTCTTACATTTCATGACTTTGACATGACTGTTTTGAGGCATATGATCAGGTATTGTAAAATACTCCTTGATTTGAATTTGTCTGGTATTTTTTATATAAATAGATTACGATTATAGGATTTGAGGAAAATGCTACACATAGAGATACCTGACTCACATAATGCCAAAGGGAACGTGTTAGCAGTGATGTTTTGGCCATCTGAGTATGGCAGGTTTTGCTAGTTTCTCCACTTTTTGGTTGCACTCTTTTGTTGTATATTTTGTTTGTGTTCTAATAAAGCTTACCTGGAGATCAGACGGTGGAGCCAGCCACTAGTTAAACATAGAGGCCAGGCAGTGGTGGCACATACCTTTAATCCCAGCCCTTTCAAGGAGGAAGCAGGAAGATGAGGAGTTCAAGTCCACCCTGAGCTACATTGATTGAATGGCAAGAAAATGAGGGAGTTCTCTGGCCAGTAGTCCATCAGTCTGTGGGAACCTAAATCCTGCTAAAAGCTGTGTGGCTTCAGCTGGGAGAAAGATCTTGCTGAAGCCCTGAAATGACTGCAGCCAGCTAACACCTCTACGGTAGCCTTGTGAACAGCCAAGCCGGCAACACTCAGCTAAGCTCAGGCCAGCTGCCTGTCCCAGAGCAGGAGATAATACATAGCTATTGTGTTAGGCTGAGGCAGTCTGTAGTGAGCTGGTGGGAAATAAGAGATAACGAATATAGCTTCTCTTCCACAAGACCATAGGCTCTTACATTTCAGTTTGGAGCTGCCAAAACATATGCACAAACTCCTTCTAAGGTGATCGTTCTGAATTTGGACCAAATGTTACAGGGCAAGTCATTTGGAAATATTAGGGGAAAAAAATGGACTTTGTTTTTTGTTAGTATATTTGATCCTGGAGGGTTTTTTGTTTGCTTGTTTAGTTTTCCTAAACAAATGGAAGAATCCTGAATAACTGAAAGTTCATCTGCTGTTTGGATGAAGAGAAGGAAATGAGTCAGCAGTTGCCTTGAAAAGCTCCTTGACTTATGGAGGCCAGGGAGATGGTTCAGTACAGAAAGGCTGTTGCCACCAAGTGTAATAGCCTGTATTTGATACTGGAACCCATATAACAGAGGGAGATCTCCCCCACACACACACACACCCCACTTGCATGCACGAAATATATCTAGAAAAGAAACTTTCCTTTTGACTCTGTGTGACTCCTAGCCCAGAAGGCCAGCTCAAAGAATCCTTGAGGACTGAGTGTTTAGTATCTGCCGAACTCTAAGGCCAATTTCAGGCTTATCTCAAAGACCCAAAAACGTCACCATGAAGGACAAAAACAAACTCCTGTGTTTGTGATCCAATAAAGAAGGGGAACTGTCTCCCATGTCAGGCCGAATGACAGCCCCATTTGGTAATATGGATTAATTTATTTACATGTGTTCTCTTCTAGCAATCAAGGTTCATTTCTTCTTGTTCAGCTTTTGCCCTTAGCTCCAACTGCCTCGCTGTAGGAAATAGGATACACTGAAATGAGTCTCCAAGGTTCTTATTTAGAATCAAGGAAAACTTTCAGGGTCAGTTTCAATCTAAAAATGACAAAATGTCACATACACGAAAACAAAAAGCATCATAGGAATTCTAGAGTAGGTGTCAATGAGGCACAGAGAGACAACTCCATGCTGGTACCTGCAGCAGCCCGAGGAATTCCAGGATTCATGACTTTGATGCAGAAAAGATTGCAAGACTAGTCAGTGTGAAGCAAAGTTGGAGGTTTTATTAAAGATATTTTATGGCTGGGGAGATGAGTCAGTGGGCACAACACTTACTGTGCAAGCTCAAAACCTGAATTTGGATCCTCAGGTCCTGCATAAAGTCAGATGTGCTACTACACATCTGTTACTGCAATCCTAACATCTGCCAGATGGGAGGCAGAGACGGGAATACCCCTGACCAGCTTGCCTGGTTTATGCAGTGACAAATAATACAAGACCTTGCGTCAAACAAGGTAGAAAGAGAGAACCAACACCTAAGGTTGCCCTCTGACCTCCACATGCATGCTGTGGCCCCTGAACACCCACACTCGTGCACACAGATACAATTTGTTTTTAAGACTTTTATTTATGTATGTATCTATGTGAGTATATGACACTCATAATTTTTAAAAGGCATTTTGATAGACACTCCAAAGAATAAAGGCACACTCAAGAGCATTGGTGTGTGCTTCTCAAAGAAGAGTCACAGAAACTAAGCAAGACACACCCAAGTGTTGGTATGGGCTCTTCAAGGGAGAGTTGCAATTGTCTTAGCATTCACCATATATACCATTGTGATGGATCACATCTTATCCTCCCTTTGAGATTATAGGGTGAAGCATAAACTTAATTAATCTTATCAATAAAAACCAGGAGTCAGATACTGGGGTAAAAATCTGAAAGATCAGAGAAGCAAGGGAGTAGCCATAGTCACTTCCTACCTCTCTGGATCCTCTGATCAAAAAGGGGCCGAGATCCTGTCCCTGCCTCGCCTTATCATTTCCTGTTCCTCTCTATATAGACCTCCAGACCTCTATGGTTAACTAGTGGCTAGCTGCACCCTCTGACTCCAAGCCAGCTTTATTTGTTAGAACACAAAATATCACACAACAATAGGGTGGTTCCTGAGATGCTTTGGATAGAATTATAATCTGATAAGGTAAAACTATCAGCCACTAGAGTTGAACAAGGAGTTTAGTACATGTTTTTTTCCCTGCAAGCAAGGTTTCTACTGAGATTTCTAAACACTTGCAGGTTTGTATCTGGAAGGAAGAAAGGCCCCAAGCAGTTGTTAATTGTTCTGGAATTCCTGCTCTGCTGCTGGTGAGAAGCTTCAAGCAGATTACAAGGTGAAGGGGATTCCGCCCCCCCCCCCCTTTTTTTCATGTCCTCACAATTTTCATTTCTATCCTGTTTTCATAAAAGCCAGCTTCAGCAATCAGCAGTCTACAGCAACTGTTCCCTCTATAAGCGTTTCCTTCCTCTGGTTCATTTAAATTTTTAAAATAGCGTGTGTGTGTCAGTGTGTCTGTGTCTGTGTTTCTCTGTGTGTATGGGTGTGTGTTTGCAGGCATAAAAATACCATGGAGCCCGTGTGGAAGAGATCAGGGGACAACTCTTGGGAATCATTTCTCTCCTTCCACCTTGTGGGACTTGATATCATTTCCACATCCTCCTAACCACTTCTAGGGGCCCATCGCCACACATGCACCATCAGCGTTCAGACAGAATGCTTAGTCATCGCAGGGCCTTACATCCCACGTAATCTATATGCATGCGCTGAGCTACCTTTAAAAGTGGACTCACCAGACCCACACCTTCTCTCCACCACATTCTTGCAGACAGACCTGTGCACTCCCCCCTTTTCCCTTTCCCTACTCTCCACCAAAAGAACTCTTAAAGTGAGTTTTGTTGTATATCTTATGGTTCATTCTCATGCTGAACAGGTTCTCCTGGCACCTCCCCATGCTGGGAACCTGAACCAGGTCCATCTACAACCGTAGATTAAAAGCCACTGGATCTCATTTGTTTATTTTTCTCTGCCTCGACCATGGGGAATAAGCCTTCCAACAATAAAAGCCCAACATCTCCTCTGGGATGATTCTTTTAGAAACCCTCAAACCTCTAAGCTTAATGCTGTAGTTGGGAGTTTTCCTGTGTCCTACCTGGTCCTGTAGCCACTCAGACCCAAATAAACACACAGAGGCTTACATCAATTACGAATTGCATGGCCATGGCCTATGGCTCAATTTTCTTGCTAGCTAGCTCTTATAACTAAACTTAGCCCATTTCTATTTATCTATATGTTGCCACATGTTCCCTGGCTTTACCTGTATGCCATTACATGCTGCTACCTGGACGGTGGTATGGCATCTCTCTGCCTCTTCTTTCTCTTCCTCCTATCTCTCTTGGATTTTTCTGCCTGGCTCCATCCTGCCCTGCCATAGGCCAATGCAGCTTTATTTATCAACCAATCATAGCAACACATATTCACAGCATACAGAAAGACATCCCACAGCAATTTCCCTTTTCTGTCTAATCAAAAAGGAAGGTTTTAACTTTTATATAGTAAAATTACATATAACAAAACAGTTATAAAGCAAGAATTACAGTTACAATATATAGTCTATTTATCATTGACAAAATTAGAAAATATTCTACCATCTATCCTGTTTTTGTGAGTCTAAAGTTTTATATCTAATTTATCTTTTATCATGACCAAGAAAAGCTATAATTATAACTATCTAGTCTTCAACTCCATCAAAGTCCTCAGAAGGATATAATATTACCTAAGTAAACAGGAAGTGCATTGCAAGCAACTTCAATAATTCTAGAAATGACAGAGACAGCTGGCTGCCTGGACAGTCACCCAAAGTTCCCCTGCAATGTTGGGGCATCCATCTTCAGCCTATAAGCCTGGAGTCACTTTTCCCTGTGTCCTGTAGAATGTCTGGCAGTCTCTTCTGTGAAGCAGGAACCTGAAGGACTGTTTTGCCTTGTTTTGGCAAAAATCAGTGGTCATTTTCCTATGGGTTCTATATGTCCAGTTTATACAACATATTATTAATCAGTCCAGGCATGAGCAGTTTCTTGCCCAAATGGCCAGTTTTGCCAAGAAGATAAACTCCATATGGAGTGGCTTTGATGCCTATCTTCCTCTTTGAAATAAATCGGTGCTGCCAGGAGCAGACATGTCTCACTGTCCAGAAAGTCAAAGTTTTTAAAACATTTTAAATGCCATATTCTGTAGGTATTTGAAGTGTGTGAAAATTACCTAATTGAAATATATCTTTGTATATCTAAAAAACTAACATGACTATAAATTTGATTATCATAAATAACTAATTATTCTGTATTTTTAATTATATTTTACAATTTTAAATGAGTTGCATGAACATAATACCTTAAACAAGAATGTATATATAATATAACAAAATTAACTTTAAATTTTTATCAATACACTAAAATCCATAGCAATGTAAAACATTTCAAACAAGTTGTTGCTCTTTAAAAGTAGATTCAATAATCTACCCTTTCATCCTATCATATCTATATCCCTTTTTTTTCTTTTAGAAAGACATTGACTGTGACCAATAACAGTTTTTAATTAACCCCTAAACAAAGACAAACATCCATAATCCATTTTTTGGGAATGTGGGTGTAGTTTTCTTGGCTACTTCCTCCTGATTGGGGTAGTCTTAGGGGGACACAAAGAAAATTTTAGGATTATGGTCAAGTCCTGCCTGGAGTAGTCTGTGAGATTGTATTCTCTGAATCAGTTGCTTTGAAGCTGTACTGGATGTTGGATCATCTGGAGACCTCTCAGGGGGGTCTTCCTTGATCGAACCATATTAACCTGGAAGGAATCTATAGCTTCTCATCTGTGGAAAGAAAAGCAACATATCCTTACACATAAATTTTGAAATCAGATACCTTTAAAATATATATGTATATATATATAGAGAGAGAGATTTAACTCACCAGCTCTTATGCCCTTACAATCAAATCTCTCTCTAGTTAAAAATCCCAAAGACAACATAATCCAGACTTTCTGTGTAATTTCCATCTTTGCATGGCTTATTATATTTTTTATATATTATTTTATTTTTTAAGACTTTATTTTGTTTTTATGACTAGCTATATCTCTCTCTCAAGCCTATGTACCTTTTTACACACACTGTAAACCGTTTAGAGTTTTATTCCATCTGAATCTGTCTTATCATGAATCTGTAATCATTTTTGACCATTGATTTATATTGCAGTGTGGCTAGGACCAAAGCAGTAGCAGCACTGGCTGCTGGCCCCACCCCACTAGGTTTTTTAACATGGTGCAGGTACTAACAAGTCATGCTTATCTCTCCAATTCTGGGAAGCAGTATTAAGTAGTATGCCTGTGTTTTTAAGCCCACAGCTGTGCTTCCAAGCCAGCAGGCAGTGGCTGGGAGAAGCCTTTTTGTATTGAGGCCCAGCCCATCAGAGACCATGGGAGTCTGCCATGTTGCCACTGAAGCCTGCTGAGGCCAGGGGACATGTCTCTGTACTGCGGCCCGCCAGGAGCGACATGAATTAGAAGCTGTTCTTGGATCCATTTTAGAATCCTTTTAAAAAGCTTTCTCAGGTTTTTGAGTGGAAATTCTTGCTACTGTGTTGGGGGCCAAAATGTAGCTAGAAGTTTTCCTGTGTCCTGCCTGTCCTGAGATCCCACAGCCATAATGTAGCTGGAAGTTTTCCTGTGTCCCACCTGCCCAGCCCTGAGGTCTCATAGCCAAGTAATCACTCAGAGGCTTATATTAATTATCAACTGAATGGTCTATGGCAGGCTTCTTGCTAGCTAGCTCTTTCATCTTAAATTAATCCATTTCTATTAATCTATGTATTGCCATGTGTTCCATGGCTTTAACTGCATCCCATTACATGTTGCTCCTTGGACGGCAGTTTGGCATCTGCTCTTACTCTCCTTTCTCCTTTTATTATCTCTCTTGGATTTTCCCGCCTGGCTCCATCCTGCCCTGCTATAGGCCAATGCAGCTTTATTTATCAACCAATCAGAGCAACACATATTCACAGCATACTGAAAGACATCCCACAGTACAGTGGTCCCCCTCTATCCTGTAGTGACTAACCCTTACATACTTCTTTCCACTATCCATTCAGGAACCTCCTATTTCTCAGTTCTGGATCTCAAGAACACTTTCCTCTCTATCCCTCTCAGCACTGAGTCTCAAAATACCTTTGCTTTCAGCTGGACTGACACTCACCTTTCCACACAGCTCACTTGGACTGTCCTACCCCAGGGATTCTGGGACAGTCCACACCTATTTGGCCAGGCCCTGCCTTATGACTTACTCTCTTTGTCTCTCCCCAACTCTAAACTCATACAGTATGTAGATGACATTCTACTTTGCAGCCTGTCATTACAATTTAGCCAAACTAACACCTCTGCTTTCCTAAATTTCGTGTCCAGCCAGGGCTATAGAGTCTCACCTTCCAAGGTCCAACTGTCCACCCCTCAGGACACCTACTTGGGTCTAACCATTACCCCAACCCACAAGGCTATTACTTTACATAGAAAGCACTTAATCCAGTCTCTTGCAGTCCCCTTTACAAAAGAGATTTTATCATTTCTAGGAATGGTTGACTTCTTATGCTCCTGGATCCCCTTTTTCTCCCCTTGCTCACCCCTTATATGAGACAGCTCTTGGCTCTCCACACAAACCCCCTCCTCCATCCCATTAGTAAGCCCTTTCAGAATTTCTAACAGGCTCTTCTCCAGGCTCTAACTCTCCATCTCCCAGACCTAACTTGTTCCTTCTCCTGCTAGGCAATAGAAAAGGAGGGATATGCCTGTCAAAAAAACTAGATCTTACCACTCAAGGATGGGTACCCTGCATACATGCTCTAGCAGCTGCTGAGCTCATTATTTGTGAATCAAAGAAACTAACCTTTGGGTCACCCACCACTGTCTTCTCCCACCACAACCTGTCCCATCTCTTTACTTATAAAGCTAACAAACTCTACCTCCTTCCCAAGTTCTTTCTCTCCAGGTGGCGTTACTGGAAGATGCCACATTTACTTTCCAATCTTGCCCACCCTCAATATCTCAAGTCTTCTCCCTCAACCTAATACTGACTATTCCCCATCTCATTCCTGCACTGAAACCCTAGAGGAACTACTGTCCCATCCTTCACATACAGGAGGGCACATTGCCTCAGGCCACCTATACCTGCTACACAGATGGCAGCTCCTTTTTACATGAGGTGACCCATAAAGCAGGCTATGCCGTAGAGTCAGATACTAGGGTGGTTAATGCATAGGCCCTCCCTGCTCACACTACTAACCAGCAGGCTGAACTAATAGCCCTTACCTATGCCTTCCAATTAACACAAGGACAATCCCTAAATGTTTACACAGATTCTAAATATGCTTTTCATAGCCTCCTGTCCCATATTGCCATCTGGAAAGAGTACGGACTTCTTACAACAAAAGGAGGATCCATAACTAACTCAGGCCAAATTATGGCCATGCAAAAAGCCCCCCATCTCTCCAAAGCTATAGGAATTATTCACTGCTGGTCTCATTAGACCAACAATGCTGGTCTCATTAGACCAACAACTCCATCATCTCCAAGGGAAATAACCAGGCTGACTAGGCAGCTAGGATAGCAGCCCTCCAGGGCCCAGACTCACTCCACCCACTGCAGGGAATCAATCCATACACTACAACCCACATCCTCATAGTCAGCCCCTGACACTTGGCAAATTCTGTACTATCTACACCAGCTCTTTAATCCTAATAGTCAGGCTCTGTCTCATTTTGTCAAAGCTCACCTACAGCCCACCCCTGAGGACTTACAGTTCTTAAAAACTATTGCTGCCTCTTATAAAATTTGTCAAAGTCAGACCCTAATTCTAAATATCAGAGCCACCCTTTTCCTGCCCACCAGGCTCGGGGCTCCCTCCTGGGGACTGACTGGCAATTTGATTTTATTCACATGCCCACAGTCAGACAAGTTAAGTATCTCCTGGTTCTAGTAGTAGATATATTCTCAGGCTAAGTTGAGGCCTTTCCAACGACTAACAAACAGGTTCAGACAATCTCTGACCTTCTCCAGGAGATTATTCCTTGATTTGGGATTCCCACCTCTCTCCTGAATTCGCCTCCCAGATTTCCCAAACCTTATATAAAGCTCTTAACAACCCTTGGCATTTTCATATCCTGTATCACCATCAGTCCTCAGGAAAGGTAGAAGGAACTAACCACTCCTTAAACAATATTCTTGTTAAAATGTCACAGGAACCTCACCTTGACGGGGTAAAACTCTTGCCGCTGGCTCTTTTCAGGGAGATAGAGGAGCGGGAGGAAGAACTGCATAAATGATTTCACTTACTACAAACGAATCTGATACAGAAAGCTATATATCCCATTTCTCAATAAAGTTATTCTTGCTTTTACTTACTTTTCTTTGTGTGGTAGATTCCTGTCCTGATTAAGGTTACTCCGTGGCTCCGTGATATCAGGGAAAAGGAAACAACTGAGAAAATGCTTTAATCTGATTGGCCTATAGGCAAGTCTATGGGGGACATTTTCCTTTTTTCTTCCTTCCTTCCTTTCTTTTAGGGGAGGGAGTTGGTTTTTTGTTTTGTTTTTCAAGACAGGGTTTCTCTGTGTAGCTCTGGCTGCTCCATAGCCCAGGCTGGCCTCGAACTCACAGAGATCCGCCTGCCTCTGCCTCCCTAGTGCTAGGATTAAAGGGATTAAAGCCTGGCTTGTGGGGGAATTTTCTTAATGAATGATTGATGAGGAAGGGCCTAGCCAGTATTGGCAGTGCCATCCCTGGGCAGGTAGTCCTGGGAGATATAAGAAAAGTAGTTGAGTGTAGTCTGGATCATTCATAATTTACATACTTTGAATGTATAAGATTGGATGGGGGTGATAGTTCAGCAGTTAAGAGAGAACTTTTTATTTTTTATTTTGCAATACAATTCAGTTCTACATATCAGCCACGGATTCCCTTGTTCTCCCCCCTCCAGCCCCCCTCACCTTCCCCCCAGCCCACCCCCCATTCCCACCTCCTCCAGGGCAAAGCCTCCCCCGCGGACTGAGATCAACCTGATAGATTCAGTCCAGGTAGGTCCAGTCCCCTCCTCCCAGGCCGAGCCAAGCGATCCTGCATAGGCCCCAGGTTTCAAATAGCCAACTCATGCAATGAGCGCAGGACCCGGTCCCACTGCCTGGATGCCTCCCAAACAGATCAAGCCAATCAACTGTCTCACCCATTCAGAGGGCCTGATCCAGTTGGTGACCCCTCAGCCATTGGTTCATAGTTCATGTGTTTCCATTCATTTGGCTATTTGTCCCTGTGCTTTATCCAACCTTGGTCTGAACAATTCTCGCTCATATAAACCCTCCTCATTCTCGCTAATTGGACTCCCAGAGATCCACCCGGGGCCTAGCCATGGATCTCTGCATTCAGATCCCTCAGTAGTTGGATGGGGTTTCTAGCACGACAATTAGGGTGTTTGGCCATCCCATCACCAGAGTAGGTCAGTTCGGGCTGTCTCTCGACCATTGCCAGCAGTCTGTTGTGTGGGTATCTTTGTGGATTTCTGTGGGCCTCTCTAGCACTTTGCTTCTTCCTATTCTCATGTGGTCTTCATTTACCATGGTCTCCTATTCCTTGTTCTCCCTCTCTGTTGTTGATCCAGCTGGGATCTCCCGCTCCCCCAAGCTTAAGAGAGAACTTTTTATTCTTGCAGAGGACCTAGGTTCTATTCCCAGCCCTTACATGGCAGCTCATAACTGTCTGTAACTCTAATTCTGGGGGATTCAGTGCCTTCTTCTGACCCCTGCAGTCACCAGGCATGCACATAGTGCATGTACATATATGCAGGCAAAATTTTCATACACACAAAAAAAAAAACATTTTGCTGTCATTTTTTAAATGACTAGTATATGCTTTTCTGGTATTACTTAAGATTTTAGAAATTATTCCAAGGTTGTTTCTGCAACTTGGTGTAGTAAAATATTTTAAAGTGTGTTAGTTTTGTTTATGTTGCATTTGCTTAACTCTGTGAAGCTGTGTTACTGTGCTTATCTAAAACACCTGATGGTCTAATAAAGAACTAGCCAATAGCAAGGCAGGAGAAAGGATAGGTGGGGCTGGCAGGAGAGAGAATATATAGAGGGAGGAATCTGGAAAGGGGGTGCTGGATAAGATCTAGTAGCCAGAGAAGGAGGAGGACTCCAGGGGCCAGCCAGCCAGCTACACAGCAAGCCATGGAGTAATTGTAAGATACAGAAGTAAGAGAACAGGAAAAGCCCAGAGGCAAAAGGTAGATGGGATAAGATAAGGAAAGCTGGCTAGAAACTAAGCCAAGCTAAGGCCAGGCATTGGTAATTAAGGTAATTAAGAATAAGTCTCCATGTGTGATTTATTTGGGAGCTGGGTGGCAGTCCCCCCAAAAAGAGAAAAAGCCTCCAACAACAACTTGAAATTAATTTTTTATTTTATTTTTAACTATATTCATTCATTTTATTTTAATTTTTAGATTTACTTACTTACTTAGTTATTTATTTAATGTGTATGGATGTTTTGCCTGCATGCATGTCTGTGTATCCTGTTCATGACTGGTGCTTGCAGAGTTCAGAAGATGGCAATGGATCACCTGAAGCTGAGATCCATCTTAGATAAGGAGCGACCCAAAGTGGGTTATCGGTGGGTAATGGGTGCTGGGGAAGAGGGAGGCATTTTCTTCACGGGTGTACCTAGTGAAGCTGTGGTATAGGTGGTGGGAATTGAACCTGGGTCCCCTGGAATAGTGCTTCTCAATCACTGAGCCATCTCCCTGACTCCTTTTTTTTTTATGTTTGTTTGTTTTTCCTTTTTGAGACAGGGTTTCTCTGTGTCGCCTTGGCTGTTCTGGAGCTCACTTTGTAGACCAGGCTGGCTTCATACTCAGAGATCTGCCTGCCTCTGCCTGGGATTAAAGGTGTGTGCCACAACTGCCTGACACCTTACTTGTTTTTGAGGCAGGATCTTGCTCTATAGCTGAGACCACCCTCAAAATCACTCTTCTGCCTGTTTCCCACATCCTGGGATTATAAATTTGCACTACTATCCCGGTTCTGATCTGTATTTATCAGTGGCTATACAATGGCCCAAAGCCTGTAGAATTATCATGATTCACTCAAACATTCCACTAGTTATTACTTTATTATTGTAATTTTTATTAATTTTTGTGGTTCTCAAATGGGAACCCCCCTCCCCTTCATGCTTGCAAGAAAAGCATTCTACCACTGAGCCATGCCCTCTGCTCAGTAGTTCTTGCTGAGAGTTCTTGCTCTCTCTTGAGCTTTCTACATAGCCCAGGATGGCTTGGAACTCACAGTTCTTCTGTCTAGCCTTTTGTATTAGGTGGGATTTTCTAAAGGGACAGAACTTATAGAATGAGTCTATACATTAAAAGATTTATAGACTGACTTCCTGGATGTGGTCTGAGTAGTCTAACAAAGGCTATCTCATGATGGAAAGGCTGAGAATCTACCTTGTTAAGCCCGACTGAGTCCCACTCTGGCCCTGGAGTCCTGAAGGATTCCTGGACAGCTTCTCTCTTCATTCTGAGTTGGGATCCTGAGGCAGTTGACTTTAACACTGCTTCACCAGTAGGATAGATGCACTTGCTAGTGGGAGTGAGGAAACATGGACAAAAAGAAAAGTGTCTTTCTTCCATATCCTTTTATGTGCGCTGCCACCAGAAGGTTTATGCAATTTAAAACATTTTATTAGCATATATTAATTATACACAGTAATGGATTGCACTAAATTTTCATCATGTATATACAGTATTTGACATATTCATCCTTCATCACCCCCTCTTGCTCTCCTCCTACTTCCGCTGATCTCCTTTCTCTTCCCAACTTTTTCTTTTCCGTCCTTCCTTCCTTCCTCCCCTCCCTCTCTCCCTCCCTCCTCCCTCCCCCTCACTCCTCTTCCCTGTGAACCACTGAGTTTAACTGGGTTACTTTTATGAGCACATGCAACTTGCAGTGGCTGTGAAAAACATCTTTCCCTCCCCCAGCAATGATTAACTGCCTATGGATCCTTAGAAAGGAGTGGGGCCCATGAGTCTCTCCCCACTTAGACACTTCAAACATTTTGATTTTGGAGGACGGTGAGTTAGTTCAATAGGTAAGGTGCTTGCTGCCAAGCCTAATTGTAGCAGGAATCTTAACAGGTCTTATTAATAAAATCAAACCTGAGCCTAGTTATTGGGGTGAATGCTGGAAGATCAGAGAAGCAGAGCAAGCCACAGCTTCCTCACCTTGCCAGTTCCTCAGCTGATCCTGTTTCCTCAGACTGGAAGCTTCTGAGTCCTCATCCAGAATGAATCTCAGCTGAACTGCTGCTCTAAAGCCTGAATTCTTAACCAGCTAAAAGCTTCTAGTTCCTGGTCCTCACGCCTTATATACCTTTCTGCTTTCTGCCATCACTCCCTGGAATTAAAGGCTCATTTTCTGGGATTAAAGGCATGAGTTACCATGCTTGGCTTTATCCTTGAACACACAGAGATCCAGGTAGATCTCTGCCTCTGGAATGCTAGGATTAAAGGCGTGTGCTACCACTGCCCATCCTCTATGTTTAATATTGTGGCTGTTCTGTTCTCTGACCCCAGATAAGTTTATTAGCATGCACAATATTTCAGGGAAAACACCTAATGATGTGGATTTGATCCCTGGGACCCACATGAGAAAACCAACTTCTGCAAGTTGTCCTCTGACTTCCATACACATTCTGTGACATGCTACATTGAGCGCATGTGTGCACGAATGAACAAATGGGATTAAAATATGGGTTTTTTGTTGTACTGCTGAGATGGGACTCACATATGCTAGGGAAGTGCTTGAGCACTGGGCTGCACCCTAGCACCTAAATTTGCTTTATATATGTATTCTGTAAAAGAGGTGTGCATATGCTAAGGCATGTGTGTGGAGATCAGAAGACAGCTTGCAGGAGTCTGTACTGTCCTTCCACCATGTGGTTTCCAGGAACTGAACTCAGGTCACTGATGTCTTGGATGGAAGTGCCCTCACCCTTTTTGTGAGACAGGCTGGTTGAACTCCTGATCTTCCTGCTTCCATCTCCTGACTTCTGGGATTACAGGTGTGTACTGCCACACATAGCAAAGTTGTTCTTAAACATTTTTTTCTTTATCATTGTATGTGATGCTGAGGGGAGACACACCTGCTACGGTGTGTGTTAGAGAACGATTATGGCATCGGCTCTCGGCATCGGCTCTCTCCCTCCTCCTTTATGTGGTGAGGTGTTTTTGTTAGTTATTTTTATGCGATACTGTGTTATTCATTAAGCGGTGCTTTTACCATGTGAGAAAAGCCATAAGGCATGACAAAAACTACTATAAGACTTTTTATTAAGAGAAGGAACAGAGGGGAATGTGCTTAAGCCTATGGAAGATTGTGCAGGGAGAGAGAGGAAGAAGGGGAGGAGT